AGGCACCAAAAAGGGAAAAAAGATAAAAAGGGAAAAAAAGAGCTGACAAGAACTGAGAAGAGCAGAGAGAAAAGCAAATAGAAGAGAAGCGAAGCGAAGCAAATAAGAATAAACTCAGAACAACATAGTGCTCGTATTTTATTATGTTCGGATGAAAAATTCTGTAATAAGCAGAGCAGATTTCTATGAAAAAGCATACAGCTAAACCAGTTTTAATTAAATTAAAGAGTTATGTTTCCTTCTAACCTAGATGTTAATAACGTGCTTCTACTTTGCAATAGCAACCTTCAGAGTGGTCTTAATCTCTAAATCAATGTAGACATTTGTTAGACAGTACGATCATGAGCAGTAAATACTAGGTACAGGTTCTTTTAGCCTATTAGATGCCGAAGAATAAGAAATAATAACATATTTCGAAAACATCATAACTAATACTCAAATGTTGTCTTAAATGTTTTCTTCCTAAGCTAAAATACAATAAACTAGTTTGATCTTTAAGGAACTCGATTGATCTTTATTAAACTAGTTAATCCTTAATAAACAACTTTTGTCTGTAAAAGAGTAGTTTATTAATTTGCAAATTCATTTACTAAACGCAAATAATGTTGTGTAAAATGCCTGCCTTGTATTTTTCATCTTATTAATTAATATTTATTATTTAAAGCAAACATATTATATATTTATTATATAAGCAAACTAACCATTGTACTTCACTTCCTTTCAACGTTTCGGTTCCATTGCTGAATAATTAATTTGAATGATATCCAACAAAAAAATTAGATTTTTATTAACTGCAAATGTAATCATGGCTGTTAAGTTATTACGGTTAAAACCTTTTAGAGGCTTTAGTGTACATTAAGAATCACATCATTTGAAAGTTTAAATATTTGTAAAATAAAATGCAATATTCACCTTCAAAAATAATCCGCTTCCGGAACATAAAAAATGCAAGAGGCAGCACAGTTCGGAACATACAACATACGAACGGTAAATATTTCCAGAATGGAAAAAAATACTTAGGGATAAACAAATAAAGGAATCTAGAAAAAGAACCTCAAAACCTTAAACGTGTCGCTTAAGCTCACACGGCACTTTTTCATTCTACCAGAAAACCAGTGCAACCACGTTCCAACGAAAGCAAATAAAAACATTAAAGTTGCATTATTGTCGTTGGTATGCAAATTGCGAAACAAGTAAACTGCATCCATTGCATTTGGTGGGTGTGGGTGTCAATGTGTGCATATATATGAGGGCTTGTGTCATCCGCTACACTTTTCGGGAACTCACTAACCTTACGGAGAAAAGTACAACTATACTACGACATGAACCAATGAATATTCCATGGATTCTCAAGATACCACAATATCATATGTTTATTGTCATCAAACATCTGACCTTCTGATGCTATTGCGCTCGCTACCTCAAAAACTTGCGTGGCCTGTGGGGACAAAAATTTTCGCCGCCAAATATTACTAATTGTATGGTTACTCCGTTGAGATTTCTATATCGCATACTAACATTATGAACTTTAACAGCCATTCTTGTATTAGTCTTAAATTTTTCCTACATTACAATTTGATAAGTAAGCGTTCGTTCTAACTATTAATATTAGATCGAATTTAGTTGTTATATGAATTGATTTAAGATTATCTTTCATAAATAGTAAAGTATCTACTCTCTTAGCAGTAATCATAGCATTAAACCTGAGCTTTAACTTTTTGCTCGTTTTTTTTATGAATCATTTTCCATACAAATGAAGCAAGGAGTTTTTACGGTTTTTATCTTTTTTCCTTGAACAAGTTTTGTCTACATAGTTTTGGGTAAATGAACCCAAATAATTCATTTTTAAGTAGATGTTATTTCGATCTTTAAAATTGGTATGATACTCGATAAATCCTCCTTATAATTTTATAGTACTAGCCTTTACGTTTCCATACGAGTAAGCAAGCGGATTTCTTTTACGCCTGTCTTTGAATGCCGCTTATATCTTACGTATTTGCTCATAATACTATTAGCAACAACAACTGACCATACCAGTGTTGCAGCACTGATGTAGGTTAATATCGATTGGCAGGATCTACTTTTGCATTTCACGAGAGTCGCCGACACTGACGAAATGACTCATTGCTCGTTTTATGTCTGCCTGACTTAAAATTTAACCGCTACTAACTTGAAAACCAAACATTAACCACAAGCCTTATCGATTTAGTGACAGACAGTAATTGTTTTATTTCTCAAGTGTTGTATTTAACTTATACTACTGTAGGGAATGTATAAGTGCTAAGCACGTGTTGAATTCAGTTTAATTTAACACGTGCTTAGCCAACCCGCCCTTCTCTATATAGCAGACACTGAGCATTTTCTTCTCTCATTCTTGTGTGAAAATCTCCACTAACTCGGAAACGGATACTATATACATTCCAGCAGGAATTACTCGTCTTGGCAAAGGATTATTGATAGGATTATTGAGATCTTTTAAACGACAATGTCCGACAATTGAACGGATGTTAATTATCTTGTACGCAAGCTTTCTAAATTTCAACCCTATCTTCTAACTTATGTCACGGAATTACTGCTATCATTTGAATTACTTTATTACTGAATTCAAAATTAATATTATTCCGGAATAAAAAGAAACAACACAAGACTAATTTTACCCATAGTTACTGTATTTTTAATGTGTTAACACATTAAAGAATATCGAACTCTTGTGCACTTTTCACCAATTTATTGGCTAATTTCTCTATAACATTAAGCAATTCATAAATTTATATATCCCAGATTTATATATTCTACGTAAAAGTAACTCATATCACAATTCGTTCATAGCTTACACCTTTTTTTTGAATAAATTTTATTTGTTGACGTCATTCTGTTGTATATTTAGAGTTACTGTTATTTAAGTAATTTTGCTTATATTTGCATGCATATATGTGTGTGTGAGTGAGTGTATGCGAGTGTTTGAAAGTCGGTGTTAGTGTGTCTCTTTCAATTCGAAGGAAATTATAGTTGTCCTTGTGGAGGATACAGTAATCCTGTTGCATACTTTCCGGCGCTCATGCGGTGGTTCTGTAGGAACTAATTTTGATACAAATATATTCTCGGCTGGAGCAAATTGTCAAATAGTCACAAAATATATATGTAAGTATGTAAGGAAAGGGAAATAACAATAATGGCAAATAAAAACTAAAGTCAAAAATTTTTGATTTGCTTTTTGCATTTCGTATTCGCATTCGTTGTCTTATTAATGCTATTTTC